TTTTTTTTTTTTAAATAACACAGGAAAGGTCATAAACATTTCAATCTGGGGAGGAATAGGCACCTCTTACACAGTTTGCCTTGATAGCTCCTGGGGAGTACCCTCATGTACCCTTGGTACTTGAGGTCTTTGGGAGAAAATATTGAGACTTACAGGGTAGTACTTAATGTCAGGACCCAGCCCCTAGAGACAGCAATTGGGTCACCTGTAGCCAGGAGAGTACACTTTATGCTTCTGCTTAAAAGCAGCACTCTTTTGTGTATGCTTTAGATCACAGGAATGTTGGTCCAGGGTACGCTAAAGGATACAGAACTGGTAGTGGGTGTCCAAAGATAAAAGAGAGTCTGTGGGTCCAAAAAGGAAATGTGGAGTGTTCTGTGTCCCTTTGTAGATGCAGCATACACATTAGCCTAGGATATGTTGTAAGGAGTCCCTTAGAAAATAAATCTCTTTATTCTCTTTTTAACAGTTTCCTTTTTTTTTTTTGAAGATTTTATTTATTTATTCATGATAGACAGAGAGAGAGAGAGAAACATAGGGAGAAGCAGCCTCCCAAGGAGCAGGAAGCCTGATGTGGGACTCGATCCCAGGACCCTGGGATCACGACCTGAGCCGAAGGCAGAGGCTTAACCATCTGAGCCACCCAGGCACCCAGTTTGTTTCCTTTTTAAACTTGTGTTTTGTTGTTGTTGTTTGTCCTCTTAGTGAAAAACTATTCTTCATTGAATGTAAGATACCACTGACTGTAAGAGGTACCATTACTTTATTGGCCGCTAAGAAAAAATAAAACGAATTATGATTGTAATATATTGTCAATTATGAGACACATTCTGATTTGAGAGGTGTTAACATGTGAAAAAATGTGAAACTTGGAACCATTGAATAGAATCAAATTTGGTTCTTAGATATGTCAAACTAATTGGGCCTTTCTTCTCTGAGCCAGGGTATATTGTGATTGTTCACTCTTATTATTTTATTTTAATTACCATAAATGAATATTACAGGATACTAAGGTTGTGGCCCAGATAATTCTCTAATCAAGGATGATTTGCATTTCCTTTCCACAACATAGAATTGGTGCTGTGGAGAGGTACCCACCAGTGACTGTGTGTGTGCATGTGTGTGCATGAGTATGAGTTCTGGGTACAGAGTAGGAGGCTTGAACCTTAGGAGATAGAGTCCCCACTGGGTGTAGTCTTGGGACTAGTTCTGGCCAATGGAGTGAAAGCCGAGATAATGCAGGTCACTTCTGAGCACAGGCATCTAACCATCTATGTGTCTTCCTATGCTCTTTTCATGTTCCACAGCAAACTTAGAGGCTGCAAATTGAATATGGTACCATAATGAAATAAAAGGATCCTGGATCCATGAACCATTCTTGGAATACCTCCAATCAGGAATATTCTCAACGAGCATTGCCTGAGCCAGAAATCAACTTTTATTTTTTTGAGTCACTGAAGGTTGGTACAGAAATTAGCCTAACCTATCACAGGTCAGTTTTGCCTTTTCTTTCTTATGAAATATGCAGTGCCTGCCAAATAATATTAAACACTTCTTCCAAAACTCTGATGAAGATGGAAATTCCTCAACCGACTGAATGATTATGGGTGCTGAGTTGACCTTGCTCCACCTGGAGTAGAAATGCAAGTTGCTCCCCATCCCACCAGCTAAGTTTCTACCACTGTGGCCAGGGGGTAATTATTACTGTATTGTAGTAGAAGTTATGGGCCCAGGAATTTCTCTTTTGTAATTAGACACTGCCTGTCTACTGGCAGGGCACACAGAGCTGAGATCCCTTTGACCAAGGTCAGTAGATCATAGTGTGTTAATCCCATGGGGAAAAAAAAGCATCTTTACAAGACACTATCATTAATTCCCCAGTCATAGCTAGGAACATTTTTCAGGAAAACTTCCATAAAACATGTGTATTAACATCTCATGAAACACAGTCTGGGAGACTGTCGTGAACCCTTCCTCTTACTCCTCATCTTGACCATCATGGGGTTTTCTCTTTAGCGATGGGAAGAAAGGGGATTTGCGCTATTATATACATATTACTCTATTCACTCAAGTGTTGTGTTCTAGTAATGGGGTCTCCTTATGTCTGATGTGAGATTAACACACATGTTTGTTTCTTAGAAGGTGGAGTGTGTGTGTGTGTGTGTGTGTGTATAGTGGCGGGTAGAGGCATGAGGCATGAGGTGTAGGCAATACAGAGCATTAGAATATTATTAAAATGAGGTAATTTTATTTGCATTTTAGAAGGATTGCTTTGATTTCAGGATAAGGGGTGGATTAGAAGAGTTAAGAAGGGTGCCTGGGTGGCTCAGTTGGTTAAGCGACTGCCTTTGGCTCAGGTCATGATCCCGGAGTCCCGGGATCGAGTCCCATATCTGGCTCCGGCTCAGCGGGGAGCCTGCTTCTCCCTCTGACCCTATCCCCTCTCATGCTGTTTCTCTCTCTCTGTCAAATAAATAAAAATAAACAAAATCTTTAAAAAAAAAAAAAAAAAGAAGAGTTAAGACATTGGAAGAAATGAGCCTGGTCCCTGAGAGACCCGTTAATAGTGTATTCCACTCATCTAGGCAAAGGGATGTATTCAGTGGTAATGCTAATAGAAATGAAGACTGACATTTTAGAATTATTTTATAGATCAACTCTCTAGGAAATGGTAGAATTTAAAAATTTTTAAATATATATATTTATAAATATATATATTTATATATATACAACATATATATATAAAAATTTTAAATTTTTAAATATAGGTTTTATTTTTCAGGTGTGGTGAGACCAATGGATCAAGAGATGATTGCCATTGAAAATAAGGTTTGTTATAGTTCCCAGGAAGGGGGTGGCACACCACCCCATGCAGGGTCACATGGGGAAGCACCAGCATCCGTCAGGAAGCAGAAGGAGCAAGCAGAAGGCATGGGCAAGAGCCTTTGCTATAGTTTCTGTGGGAAAGGAAGGAAAGGCAGGGTAAGCAAGCTTAGAATTGGCTAGTTTGAATACTTTCAGGAGGCTATGGGGTACAGGAGCTTTCTCTAGGTATCTGGTACCTGGCCCTGTGACGATTAGGGCAGAAGAATATTGCCTCCTAGAGTATGAGTTTTGAATTGGTTCATTGGCACATGAAAAGTGAACACCAGGGCAAATCGCTTGCTGTCTCTAAGAATTGGCTGGCCCTGGGAAGGGTGGTGATACTAGTCAGCAAGGCCAGATGCCAGAACAACAAAAATACAGAAAATAAGAAAATACAGTTAATATTTAGTTAATGAGAAAAATGAGGAAATCAAAGAGATTTCCATCTGGAATGACAATATGGAAGTGAAATGCTGTTAACTTTCCAGATAACTAGACTTTATTGAACACCTACTATGACCTTTATATCATCTAAATCCTCAAAGCCAAGTTTTGACAGTAGAACTATTTTTAGCTTAATTTTGTGGCTGTGCTGAAGAAGACTGCAAGAGTTTGTGCTCAGTCCCCTATGACATGCTCCCTCACAGCTTGATTTGAGGTATGTTGAGTCTGAGATGCCTGCAGGACATCTTGGTAGAACTATCTAGGACACAATGCCAGGAATATCCCCAATTTTACCTATGTTCTTATTTAACAGAAACTTGCCTTGCACTTGCTACATCCCAGATAATGCTCTAAAACTTCAGAAATACTGGCTTATTTAATCCCATAGCAACACTTGCAGGTATTTATTATTATCCTCATTTTATTCATATGTTTAATGATCACAATAGCTACCAATTTATGGGATATGCTGATGAAGCATGCACTAGGCTAGGCATTTTATGTAAATTAACTGAAGTTGATCAGGTAAGACAAGTGTGATTGTCTCCATTTCAAAGACTAGAAAACTAAGGCTTAATGGCTTGCCTCATTTGACTACTATCACATGGCTTGATTTTTACGAATTTCATAAATGTGAGTTTCTGTTGTGATTAAAACCATTGTCCCATTTTGCAGACTAGAAAGTAAGGATCAGTAGGGGCCATGGGGCCATAAGTTACCCAGGCTCAATTTGAATTTCAGTATATGCTGATTTTTCATTCCAATCTCTTCCCAATATTCCTGTGCCTTTTTTTTTTTTTTAGATTTTATTTGTTTATTTGACAGAGAGAGACACAGCGAGAGGGGGAACACAAGCAGAGGGAGTGGGAGAGGGAGAAGCAGGCTTCCCGCCAAACAGGGAGCCCGATGTGGGGCTCGATCCCAGGACTCTGGGACCATGACCCGAGCCCAAGGCAGACGCTTAACGACTGAGCCACCCAGGCGCCCTATTCCTGTCTTTTCAACTGGTGGTTCACTAGAGCTGTGTTTTCAGTTTCGCAAACATGAGTTTCTTTACAAGATTTCACAAGAGTGGACCTTACTATGGGCTGAATTACATTCCCCTCAAAACCCCTACTGAAGTCCTCCAGTACCTCAGAACATGACCACGTTTGGGGACTGGACCTTTAAAAAGGTAATTCAGGTAAAATGAAGTCACACAGGTAGGCCCTAATCCAAAACGTATGGCGTCCTTCTAAGAAGGGGAAATTAGGGCACAGATACGCATGGAGGGAAGACCAAGTGAAGACAGCCACCTGCAAGCCAAGGAGAGAGCCTGAGAACCAATCAAAAGCCGCCAACACCCTGATCTCAGACTTCCAGCCTCTAGAACTTCGTAAGCAGATAAAGGTCTGTCCTGGAAGCCACCAGCCTGCGGTAATTTTTCGTGGTGGCCCTAGGACCCTGATACACAGGGCGAGTTTCCACTCTAAAATGAAATCTGAAAGCCACCGTCCTGGATTGCTGCACAGGCTGTTTGACCGGTCTGACTGTTTTCCCAAGTTCACTAACCCGGAGGTCAGATGACTTCCCGGGATTAAAGCCAGCTTCCTCTTGCTGTTACTTGGACCACTGATCTGCGGACGTTTTGTTCTTCTTCTTCTAACTTCCTCTCCTGTGACTGGGGACGTAAATATTAGAGAAACAAAAGCCCAGAATGCTAAGGTTGCCACTCTCACTTCCTCTTGCCCCTTAATGCAGCAGCATTGCTCTGAATATAGTAACTGTCCTGGGGCATCCAGCAGGGGCAAGAGAGAAGGCTGCAGTGCCCCAGCGGCCACCCCTGCAGGCGGATACCGCGTGTCATGTTTCACAGAGCCACTTCTGGGCACAGAAAATGCCAGAATGATGTCTCCTACCTGCCTGGCTGGGATGCTGATCCCAGCCATGGCCTTCCTCTCCTGCCTGAGACCCGAGAGCTGGGAGCCTTGTGTGCAGGTATGTGGTTCTGGGTCAGTTCATCTCCTGGGAGATTTGCCTTGCTTCTGAAAAGCTGCTCTCTGCCTAGAACTTCCCACTGTGGCTCCCTCCTAGTTGGCTAGTTTCATTTGCAACAAGGAGCCAAATTACCTTAAGGACTTGAGAAGCCACACGGACCGAGCAGTTCATGGTTACATAGCACCAACAGGCAGCCCATGGGCTCATGGCCCATTTAGGACTTTAAGTGCTAATAGGGGCTTTAGGTCAGATAGATCTGCTTAAAATCACTGTTCTTTGACTTCTGGGTTACGTGACCTTGAAGAAGGTATTAAACCTCTCTGAAGCTAGTTTTTTTTTTTTTTTTTTAAAGATTTTATTTATTTATTTGACGGAGAGAGACACAGCGAGAGCAGGAACACAAGCGGGGGCAGTGGGAGAGGGAGAACCAGGCTTCCCGTGGAGCAGGGAGCCCGATGCGGGGCTCGATCCCAGGACCCTGGGATCATGACCTGAGCCGAAGGCAGACGCTTAACGACTGAGCCACCCAGGCGCCCCTGAAGCTAGTTTTTACATCCACAGTAGCCTTATAATAATACCTACTTCAATAGAGAGTTGTAAGAGGTCTGCTTCCTGTCATTCCTTTCTGCTGGTGGACTGTCCTCTCAGCTTCAGGCACTCACTTTGCCCCTTTCCATCTCAGGAAAGTGCTTTGTTTTGTTTTTTGTCTCTTAATAGGGAGAACTTTCTAAGTGGATTTCAGACTTTTAGATCTAGCCCTAGTTCCAAAGGATGAAAATAAATGAGATTGGAAAAGAAAAGTGGAGAGAGAGAAATAAAGAAAAAGATGGAGAGAAAGAGACAAAGAGAAAAGGGGCGGGGAGAGAGAGAGAGAAAATCATGTAAAGTGAGAGCTAATGCAATGGTTTCTTTCTTTGTGAAACACCAACCGACTTTTGTGTAATCTCATTCATGATGGATCTCTTTTGTTTTCCCCTGCGTGGACTTCACAAGTGCTTGGGAAGTCCATCTTAGAACCCAACAACTGAGGGATTGTCTTGGGATTTAGTGTGTGGCAGGGTCAGAAACTCAAGAAGAGCATCATCAGCCAGAGTCCTGAGAGTGAGGGCACTGGGGAAATAATGTACTTTAATATGCAATAAAGATGAATTTGTCATCTCAAAGTCCTCCCTTCCTCCAACTCCCTGCCCAGAGCCCTGCTCATTGTCTTCTCTATGTCCCTCCTGCTCTTAGGTTAATGGGAATGGATCTTCTAATCAGTCACCCCTGGATAAAATCACACCTTCCCTTTGTCCACACCCCATATTCTCAGTCTCCAAAACCTGTCCAACCTTGCCCATCCCCTCAGTGTCACCCTAGAGCAGGTCCTCAGTCCCCCTCACCTTGACTCTTGGATGGTCTCCTGCCTCCTAGTCCCCTTTCCACTCTAATTCACTCTGCACATTTTTGTTTGTTGTTTATTTGTTGTTGTTTTGCCTGAGGCTCAGTTCTAACAAATTGCCCTCTTAACAACTTGTAATAACTTCTGAGTGCTATTAGGACCGTTTGTTACCCCAGGGCTTTTGCACTGGCTATTTCTTCTAGCTAGAATGTTTTGCTCCTAGATCAGTCCTGCATAAAGGTAATACCATGTGGGTCACATGATCTAATTTAAATAATAGATGTAACTAAATTTAGCCAAATTTTTATTTAACTAAATTTTAGCTAAATTTATTTATCTATCTATTTATTTATTTATGACTGGAAGTTAATAATTGTTATTTTATTTCCCAACCATTCTAATGTCCCCAGAGAGCGAGAAAGGGAGAGCATGCGTGTGTGTGAGTGGAGGGGGAGGGGAAGAGGGAAAGGGAGAGAATCCCAAGCCGACTGCACTGAGCATGGAACCTATCAGGGGGCTTGATTTCACAACCCTAAGATCAGGACCTGAGCCAAATTAAGAGTCAGTCACTTAACCGACTGAGCTACCCAGGCGCCCCCATTCTAATGTCTTTATAAGTTTTTTGTTTAATTTAAATTCAATTAGCCAACATATAGTACATCATTAGTTTAAGATATAGTGTTCAATGATTCATCAGTTAAACGTAGCTTTAAATTTTCTAGTGGCCACATTGAAAAAAAATTAAAATGGGTAAGTTTAAGTTTAATAATATTTTTACTTAACCCAGTATATTCAAAATATTATTTCAAAATGTAATATATACTAAACTATTAATAAAATACTTCACATTCTTTCATTGGTACTAAGTGTTTGCAATTTAGTATGTATTTCACTGTTTACATGCCTCTCAGCTTAGACTAAGTTTCTTGTGCTAAGTAGTCATGTGTGGATAGGGGCTATCGTGTTGGACAGTCTTAGATTTCTTCATGACTTAATCCCTCACTTCATTTATATTTCTGCTTAAATGTCACCTCCTTCTGGGAGTATTCCTTGATCATCTCATGTAGAACTCCCTACTCCCCATATTGGCCTCTAATCTCTAGATGCTTTATTTTTTTTATAGCATACCATTATACGTTTTTTTGTGTATTTGTACATTGTTTGTCCTTCCCTTTGAAATGGGATCTATAAGCAAAATACACCATTGTTGATTTTATTTACCACTATTTCCCAGTGTTTTGTGCTGGTCTCAGCCTATCAATAACCATGTTGTGGTTGGACTAGCCCCTGTGGTTCTTTATGATTGTAAGGTACCCTTCATCAATAATCATCAGGACACTTTGAAAAACTGAAAGTTTATTACTTCGAAGACCTGGAAATTACACAAGTAGGGCCACAAAGCAATGCTGAGGGTAGAGAGAAATAGCTCTCAAGCATGTGGAGTTTTCATTATTGGGGTTGAGGATGGGGGACTAGGGTTTCCCTGGCTCCCTCTTTATTGGTGAATTTAAAATATAAGAGCAGGGATTTAGGAAGGGGTGGTGGGAAGGGGTGCAGGAAGAAGGCTAAGTGAGGGGAAGTGGCCTGGCTCTTTATCTAGTCATGTGGTTGGCTTTGTGTTTCTTGGAGATAGCCCTCTTTGAAGTGGATGCCTCCCTAGTCAAAGCTTAAATCAGGCACCTGCTTTATAAGAAAAGCCAACTGTCAAAGCTTACACTACACCCAGTGCCTAGCACCTAGCAGGTGTTCAACTTACACATGTTAGATGATTAAAAGTATTGCCACAGGGCTCTGGCTTCCCCACCTACTTAGGTTTCACCTCTCCTACTTCATGCCAGGTGCTCTGAATTAGTTTCTTCCCTTCTTGCTTACGCTGTTCTCTCCCTCTTCCTCTTTCCACGTGTCCAAATCTTACTCATCCTTCAAGACTTACCTTGAAATCCTCTCTTTCTCAGAAGCCATCTATAATCCCTGGATCTGGAATTGATCTCTACCATTTATGAGCTAGAGGAAGTTATTGTCCAGGCCTGGTTTATGGTCCTGTTCAGTAGTGTGAGGCGTGTTCCCACCTCAACTCTTCCTCTAGATTGTGAGCTCACTGAAGTCTGGAGCCGTATCACATGGGTCTCGGCACTGCCCAAAGCCCTTAGAGAAAATGCCTACAATTTGGATTGAAGCAAATCTTCAATCAGTTATTCATTCATGTATTCAATAAATAGTATGCATTAACCATTTGCCAGGCACAATTCTGAGCACTGGAGACACAGCAGAGAGCAAGAATACCAAAGCTTACAATCTAGAGAGGGAGATGAACAACACACATGGAACAATCACATGGATAATTTATGTTAGATGGTGATACACCATGTGGAGATAGATGGAAGAGGGTAAAGGAAGGAAGCCTGTTACCATCCACTATTACACAGTACGGTCTGGGAGGCTCCTATAAGGGATAGCATTTCAGGAGACATGCCAATGAAGTGAAGAGCTGCACATGTGACCTGTGATACTTTATGCATATTACTTTTTCTCTCTGAATTCTTCTTCTTTAAAAGGTTCATTTGAAGATTAAAATAAAGCATATAACATATAAGAAATATGCCCATATATGTTAGGGGATTAATAATAACTGCTAATAATAAATGTTAACAATTATTGATCATTTTCACTGTAATAGGCTTCAAGATAATCTCTTTAAAGACCTCATTTCGTTTAATCCTTTTAACAGATTCTATTGGTTTTAAACAGAAAACCAAAATTAGCTGGCTTAAGCAAGAAATTTTGTTGAAGAAATCAGAGAATTCAGAAATTAAATGGGAGGTTAGAGAATAAGGGCTTACAAAGAATTTGGGAAAGTATGATGGAAACAAGACCATGAACCACTTGACCTTATATACTGGTTTCATCTTTGGAGTCCATACATCCTAAAGATTTTTCCCCATTTCCAGATCACCTGCTCAAAGGTCAATGAACCAAGAGAGAGAATGCCATTGGTAAAAACTGAGCAATGACTGTGAAGTATGGACACTTTAACTGGTAGTTTCCCCAAGGCTGTATACAATTGTCGGGTACTTGGGGAAAAACACTTTACCTCAAATCACATGGAAGAACTAGGGTGAAACCCAGGGCTTTTGGACTCCAGAGCCTCAGCTCTTCACCACTTGATTCCATTGCCTCTCTGTAAATACTGACATTCTGATAGTAGAGGTTAGAAAACTGGGGACATAGTAGGTGCTCCACCCATCCAAATCTGGAGTAAGAGATTTTAGAAGTATAAAGTGAGTGGACAAATGAATGAATGGGTGGGTTGATGGATGGACAGATGGACGGATGGATGATTGGATGATGGATGGATGGATGGATGGCTGGCTGGCTCCTGTGTTTATACTGGAGGTCTCCAAGGTTCTGGCCTAGGAAAGGGGAGTGGAGAGAGCAGTTGAGGTGCATGCGTTAAGACACTGTATCTAACATGTGATCATTGCAGGTGGTTCCTAACATTACTTACAAATGCATGGAGCTGAATCTCGACAAAATCCCCAACAACATCCCCACATCAACCAAGAAACTGGACCTGAGCTTTAACCCCCTGAGGCATTTAGGCAGCCATAGCTTCTCCAGCTTCCCAGAACTGCAGGTGTTGGATTTATCCAGGTAATGAATGAGCTTTTACACACTGCTCAAGGTAAAATGCTCATTGTTCTATCACTTCATTCTTATGTCAGGAGTCTCATCTTTATTCACTCATTCATTCAACAGATATCTTACTTGCTGTATAACTTTGGGCGAGCCACCTCCCTTCTCCTGATCTCATTGTCTCATCTGTGAAATGAGAAGCTGGATGAGAAAGTTTTTAAGGACAGTTCTATCTTTTGATATTCTTTTAAGTCAGGGGAGAAAATTGACTCAAACTCTTTCACCAGCAGATATTTACTGACTACTAGCTATATATTATACAGACTGCTAGGAAACAAGAGTATGTTGATATATACAACTCCAGCTATTAAAGAGGGCATACACACCTGAAAGAAGTAACATGTTACAATCCTGAGCATGGTGCTAGGCACATAGTAGGCATGCAATAAATGTTACTTGATTCTGATTTTTGATTTTGAACCTGAGATAAGGATGGTAATATACATCAGTAAGTGATAAGCTATGTGCAAACTAGAGGCAACATAGTGTGTTGTTCAGAAGAGGGGGCTTCTCTGCAGTGGGTAGTGAAGAGAGATTTCATGAACTGAGTGGGATTCAAAGAATGTCTAGAATATTGAAAGTGGGATAGAGGATAGGGAAATAGGAAGATACAAGTAACCCAAGGATAAAGATAACAAGATCAAAGGAAAATATCTACTGTGAGAAAGAACAGTGACTAAGATTTTCTTTTCTGATGCAGGGAAATTTATCATTTATTAGGGCAGGTGAAGGTATTATCATTATTTTTTGGGGGAACTGAATTCTAAAACTATTATCATCATTAAGGCTTTATTTTAAAATGTACTAGATAATGGATCATATTCTCTATAAGAGTTTGTGGAAAATGCAGGAGAATTTTATATATGGCTTTTTATTATAGAAATGTTTAATAAATTCTAAGATCATAGCATGAAAATCCTCTTTATAGTGGGATATTTCTGTAGCAAGAAGAGTGTGCATCTGATGACTTATACTCTAACTTGGAAACTGACAGAGTATATAACAAAGGGGGAATGGAGCATTTTATAGTCAGTAGGGTAGAGCACAGAGCTCTGTGGGGGTTAGAGGACCCAAGCTGGGTCCTCCTCTACCATTTACAGCTATGTGGACTGAGGCATGTCACTTCATCTCCCTGAGTATCAGTTTTCATATCTGTGAAACAGAAATGGTAAAACTTACCCCATAGGGATAAATGTGATAATGAATGTTAACATGTATATATATTAAAAACCTTATAAAGTAGATTTTATAAGGATAAAAATATTATTATAGCACTTCATTAGTTTCTAAATTTCAGTTTTCTGAGTAAGAATTTTGTCAAGAACTATAATTAAGATAGACAAATCATCCCCCCCCTTTTTAAAACAAGAAGTAGTTTCTCATCAAACAATGTCCCAATTCATCTTTGATTCACCACTTACAGAAGGAACTTCCCTCAGAGGCCTTAACTATGTGTCTAGAGAGAGGACAGCTCTCCCTCTGGTTAGCCAGGAGGAGATCCTGGCTTAGGACAGGGACAAACATACTACTATAGATATCCCTTGTCTTTTCATAGTCCTTCACAATGTTTACATATAGTAACTCAGCTAGTCCCCTAGGCAGCCTTTTATTCCTATGGGAACCTATTGATATATTTGTTTTCTTTTTTAGATGAAGAAACTGAGACTCAGAGAGTTTCAGTAATTTATCTACGTTCGCACTCTACATTTTGTGGAGCTTGTTGGCAGCAGAGATTCATATTCACATCTCCTGCTTCTGAGTTAAATGTTCTCTTCATCTTAATGCTCTGCTCCTCAAAAGTGTGAGCTCCCTCTGATGAGACAGAGACACAGCAAGACCCCTCCAGTCTTGCTTAATACATAAGATTATGGGTTATAAAATCCTAGAACTGACAGCAACATGAGAAATAATCAAGGTTATTTAGAATGGTGATAACTGAGATCCATAGAGGTATGAGAGGACCACAGAGACACCAGAACTGAGATGCCTTGTCCCCTTTTCCAGTGTTCTTCCTATGGCACCCACCACCCTCTATCAAGTTACCAATTAATAAAAGCTTAGGCCAAAATGCTTTTATTACCCCTGATACTCATGGAGGGGATACGACAAGTGGAGAAATTGTAAATGTAATTCAGGTTGGACTAGCAAATAACTCATTTGCAAATGCTAACTGGCATGCACCTGCAGTGCTAGCAAGTGTTTATCATTATCTCGCCATATGTTGGCTGGAAAAAACCTTGTCTCTAGGACACTTCCATGAATATTGTATATAGCAAAGCTGCCATTTCTCTTGGGGCAAAAGTCAAAATGCTTTTCCAGTCTGAAAGCCTCTGCTTTGTATCCTCCTTTCTCCACAACCTCATCTCACAACCCTCCACTTCCCTCTCTGTACACCAGACACAAAAGTTTCTCATGGTTTCTCACGGTTCCTCCATGTATCATGGCTGTCGCCCACCTCAGGACTTTTGTATCTGCTCTTCAGTTCACTTCCTTTTCTTGGTAATTCCTACTCATCCTTCAGATTTCAACTTATGTGCTCAGAGAAGCCTGCTTTGATCCCCCTTGTCTTGGGCCATTGCTTTAATGTGAGGTGTCATAGTACACTTTCCTTTTCTTCCACAGAACTCACTCCTACCACTTGTTACTAACATTTACCTATGATAACTACAACTTACAAATATCTAGCTATCATATATGGAGAGCTTTGCATAAACCTTGAGGCTTGTGCAAACCTGTGACACTTATGTGTAATTTTTTATATCTTTGAAATTGACATTTACCAGTCATTTATCATGCTTAACAGCTAACCGCTATCTTGATTATCTATACCAATCTGACGGATAATCACAATTACATGTGGCAGGAAATGGCTGAAGTTAATCCAAGGCAGTTACATACTCTATCAGCCATACAGTCTTCATGTGCCCCAATTATTGATCTCTAACTGATTTCCTTTTGAGGGATGTCCTGCCTCTGCTTAGCATGTGTGCCTATTGTGACAAAAAGAGTTTGCCATTGTGTCCAGTAGGATAATACTGCATCTGTGGGGCTTCTTATTTGTTCATGTCATCATCTGTCCTGCTTCATGTCTTTGTCAATGCACAATCATATGTCATGTCTCATCTGTGAGAAGAGCTGGAAGACTGGTATGGTTATTCCTTTTTGAGTTTTAATTCAGCAGAAATATAATCTGTATCTCTTTTCCCTGTAGGTGTGAAATTCGGATAATTGACGATGATGCGTATCAGGGCCTAAACCACCTCTCCATCTTGATATTGACAGGAAACCCTATCCAGAGGTTATTCCCAGGAGCCTTTTTTGGACTCTCAAGTTTACAGAAGCTGGTGGCCGTGGACACAAACCTACAATCTCTAGAGGACTTCCCCATTGGACATCTCAAAACTTTGAAGGATCTTAATGTGGCTCACAATCTTATCCATTCCTTCAAGTTACCTGAATATTTTTCTAACATGCCCAACCTGGAGTACTTGGATCTTTCCAATAACAAGATCCAAAATATTTATCATGAAGACTTGCAGGTTCTACATCAAATGCCTCTTCTCAACCTTTCTTTAGACTTGTCCCTGAACCCTTTATACTTTATCCAACCAGGTGCCTTTAAAGAAATTAAACTCCGTGAACTGACTTTGAGAAGTAATTTTAATAGTACAGATGTAATGAAAACTTGTATTCAAGGTCTGGCTGGTTTAAAGATCCATCAGTTGGTTCTGGGAGAATTTAAAAATGAAAGGAACTTGGAAAGCTTTGACAAATCTCTCCTGGAGGGACTGTGCAATTTGACAATTGAAAAATTCCGGATAGCATACTTTGATGATTTTTCAGAGGATACTACTGACTTATTTAATTGTTTGGTAAATGTTTCTACAATTTCTCTGGTGCATCTGTCTTTAAAGAGGCCAAAATACCTTCCTAAAAATCTCAGATGGCGACGGTTGGAAATGGTTAACTGTGGATTTGAAGAATTTCCCACATGGGAGCTGGACTCTCTCAAGGAGTTTGTTCTCACTCACAACAAAGGCGTGAGCCCTTTTACTGAGATGAAGCTGGAAAGCCTTGAGTTTCTAGATCTCAGTAGAAATGGCCTGAGTTTCAAGGGTTGCTGTTCTCACTCTAAATTGGGGACAAGCAGACTGAAGCATTTAGATCTGAGCTTCAATGATATTATTACCATGAGTTCAAACTTCTTGGGCTTAGAACAACTAGAATATTTAGATTTCCAGCATTCCAATTTGAAACAGGCCAGTGATTTTTCAGTATTCCTATCTCTCAGAAACCTCCGTTACCTTGATATTTCTTATACTCACACCCAAGTTGTCTTCCAGGGCATCTTTGATGGCTTGGTCAGCCTCCAAGTCTTGAAAATGGCTGGCAATTCTTTTCAGAACAACTTCCTTCCAAATATTTTCAAAGACCTGACCAACTTGACTATTCTAGATCTCTCTAGGTGTCAGCTGGAACAGGTATCCCCGGTGGCATTTGGCTCACTTCCTAAACTTCAGTTGATAAATATGAGTCATAACAACCTCTTGTCATTGGATACACTCCCTTATGAACCTCTCCTCTCCCTCCAAATTCTGGATTGCAGTTTTAACCGAATAGTGGCCTCCAAGGAGCGAGAATGGCAGCATTTCCCAAGTAATCTAGTTTCCTTAAATCTTACTCAGAATGACTTTGCTTGTGTTTGTGAACACCAGAATTTCCTGCAGTGGGTCAAGGACCACAAGCAGCTCTTGGTGGAAACTGAACAAATGGTGTGTGCAAAACCTTTGGACATGCAGGGCATGCCCATGTTGAGTTTTAGGAATGCCACCTGTCAGAGGAGCAAGACTATCATTAGTGTGTCAGTGTTCACTGTACTCATGGTTTCTCTGGTAGCAGTTTTGGTGTATAAGTTCTATTTCCACCTGATGCTTCTTGCTGGCTGCAAAAAGTACAACAGAGGCGAAAGCACCTATGATGCCTTCGTTATCTACTCAAGCCAGGATGAAGACTGGGTGAGGAATGAACTGGTAAAGAACTTGGAGGAGGGGGTACCCCCTTTTCAGCTCTGCCTTCACTACAGAGACTTTATTCCTGGGGTGGCCATAGCTGCCAACATCATCCAGGAAGGTTTCTACAAAAGTCGGAAAGTTATTGTCGTGGTGTCCCAACACTTCATCCAGAGTCGGTGGTGCATCTTTGAGTATGAGATTGCCCAGACCTGGCAGTTTCTTAGCAGTCGTGCCGGCATCATCTTCATTGTCCTGCAGAAGGTGGAGAAGTCCCTACTGCGGCAGCAGGTGGAACTGTATCGCCTTCTCAGCAGGAACACTTACCTGGAGTGGGAAGACAGTGTCCTGGGACGGCACATCTTTTGGAGACGACTCCGAAAAGCCTTGCTGGATGGTAAACCGTGGAGTCCAGAAGGAATGGCAGATGCAGAAAACAGCTAACATGAAACAGTAACCTCTGCCTGGGGAGGAAAAGCTCCCGTGGTGCTCCTTGCCCAGATGGACCCCATACTTGTTCAGTTAACGAGTATTAAATGCTGCGACATACCTGGCATTGTGCTAAGGGCCGATGATTCAGTGGTGCATTAGGTACAGAGGACAGCTGACCTCATGGAGTTTACAGTGCAGAGGGAATAATACTGTGCTAAATCAGAGAACCTCCAGGTGCATGCTTCCACCAAATCAGCTCAGGAGTCCATGGTATGGAAAGTCAACTCAATTTTTACCCCATCAAACTGAATTAGAACTAAGAGATTGGGCCCCAGATAGATCAGGAAGAAGACATCGTTCTTCACCTTAGTCTTTGGATGGAAACCACCTCATGTTTTACATGCTAGCCATCTTAAAGCTGTTTTGGCAGTTTTAACTGAACAAGGTCTATGCTCACCTTTCCCTTTTCTATTGAATGAAATTTAAATGCCACTTGATGACTCAGAAGGCTCCAGATTCAGACCCTTCCCCCTCCATTTGAAGCCAGTTTCTTTACAAAGGCTAAAGTCTAGTTCCTAATTCCCAAGGAAGTCTGATTAACACATATCCACAGATATCCTGGCCATTCTTTAGTATGTTCTATTTATTAACTAATTGTGCCTGATACATTTTTGTTTTTTATAAAATCCAATTCTAATTTTTCATGTCTCCTCTATAAACTCTTACCATAAATAAGGCTGTTAGAGACATGCTGGAAATTTCCATATTTAAGCACTATCATTCAAGCAAATATGTAAAGTACACTCCATCACTTTGTCACTTGATGTCACTCTAAAGTTATTACCTACTAAGTTATGACTGTCATGAAGGAAGCATTAAAATAATTTGGTTGAAAGTAGCACTTATTGTAATAGAGAGGGACAAGTCCAAATTCCCAGTCCTATAATAAGCAATTCGGGGCTAAGGGTAGGCCAAGAAATGGGTTGATCTGGAGGTCAGTTCTTGATGGTCCCAGAAACATAGGGTTGATATAGCTGGGATGACCACATGAAAGAGCTGCAGCAGTTTCTTTTGCAGGAAATGAGTATTTGCTCACGGAATACTGACTTTTTCAGGTGATTATGAAATGGTTCAAGGTGGAGAGTGCACACTTCTGCTTCCTGTTGAGTACTACTCCCCGTGACCATATTTAGGAAAAAGTAGATGTTATAATGTCACTGAGGTTAATGTGGGTCATGTTAAGGGGAATTCTTAGACGAACACACATACAGCCTTCTTCCCCAGGAAGAACAACAAGGTAATTTGGAAAATATGGTTGTCAAAACGGGAAACGGCCGCAACCCAGGAGTGTGTTTGTGACTGTTTCAGAGTGTATTTTGGTTGGAGCATAACTGGGGTTGTTTAACATGCCTGGGTGTGCTTATAGGTCTTACATGGTAGTGAAAGTGGATCTGTGTCTTTGTGTGCATGCCTCTATGTGTTGCTGTGTCTGTGGGTATGCAAGAGCACATGTTCTTGCATCGCAAATATGCGGTCATATCTGCATGGAACAGTGTGATTCTATTGCAAGGGCAAGATGTGTGTTTGATGTGGAATTCTACAGCTGTTTGAGATAGGTTCTCTACTCTTGTGTTTGTGATTGCTTATATAAAAACATCTGTATTAGATTCTGAGTATGCCTGAAGGCATGTGTTATTGTGTGTGTCCAGGCCATCATGAGTGTGCTTGTGCTCATATCTGAGCGTGGGTTCTGCATATGTGTATTAGTTCAAGCAAATATACAAGACTCCAAGGAGGAAAATCAAAATGAAGCTGGAATGTTTCCTGTATACAAGGCTGACGCTGGCTTCCTTCCCATCATTCCCCTTTCCCAGATGAAATTCTGAAAATGCAGGTGAGGCAGACAAGGAGGGAAAGAAATGATAGGACGGAAACATAAGGGGAGGAAAGAGGAAAGTCAGACCAGGGGCAGGTCCTTTGAAGCCATTTAAGTTCTTCAGATTAAGAGAGATGAAGAGTGGAATAGAGAGAAATTAATACTAATTAGAATGCCTTCAATTTGTGTAATACCCTACAACTTGGAACACAGTCACACAATTATGACCACATCTGAATTTCTTATTATCCGGGTAAGGTAGCAGGTTAAGAATTAGTTTCCCCATTTTACCGACATGAAACCTGAAGTTGAAGGAAGTAAGTTTATTGTCAATAGGCCACAGTATAAGTGAATGGCAGGGCCTGGACTTGGGCCCCCAGCCTCCTTGGGGCAGCTCACTTTCCACTGCACCCCAATGCTTCACGCTTCAAGTCAGTAAAACGAGAAGTGAAACTGCTGTAGTTCTCTGCGTAGTCAACTCTGGCCAAGGGTTTTTCACTGAAACCATGAATCATTAGGCAAATACATATGCATATATATATCATATATACTGAATGATTTGTTTATAACACTTTTCTTTCCATAAAGGATATGAGGGAGATTCAAACAAAGTATGCCTGGACAATAAGGGTAATTGAGAAGAACCAGAAAAGCTGGACGAAGAGTGAAAAGAGGAATGGAAGACACTAAGAGTAAGCTTTAGCATAGTGCATCCCCATTCAGACTCGAGAGAGCTCCCTTGCCACCCCTGCAGTGTTTTGGATAGTTGGATATTTTGTGGCTTCTGGAGAAAGCACAACTCAGACTTACCATTTACCACATCTGCTCTGGGCTTCACTGTTATGGGTGCCTAGCTAACTCAAATATAACATGAGGGTAAACTCTGTGAACTGCTGTCAGTATTAAGCATGATTGCACATATATGGGATACTATTTTTATGGAGGAGTAATCCTCTGGGACTTCATAAAGGGAGAACAGAAAGAAATATTGAGTGGTCTTCTCAAAAAAACCCCCAGCATTTTAGCAATTGCTGTTTTCCTAACGCGTGGGACCAGAGGAGGACTGTAATTAGGCAGTTTCCTTCTGACTCGGCTCCCACCCACAGGATTGTCAGAACCCCAGCCTCTTTCTGGACTTTGTTACCTTTCTAGAAATCACCAGCAGGTTCCTGGAGGGTCTTACATAAACACAGTCCTCCGCAAGAATGATCACCCTCTGTGAGGGCAGGGAGCATATCCATTCATCCTTTGCTGCCCCAGCCCTGAGCTTGATGGCTTGCACAGAGTGGACAGAATAACATCTGTCTGTTTAAAGAATTGATGAGTGAATGAAGACCCATCTCTACAGGGATGTTGTCCTCTGTGTCTCAAGGCCCCCAGGTTCCAGACCACAGCTCTTTGCTGCCCATGCAGTGTCTGGGGCTCTAGCTTTCACAGCTGTTTCTTGTCTCTGTTGTTGTCTGCATGGATGTTCTCAACTGCTTCCTCCACTCAGTTCCTTAACTCCAAGCATTCCAAAAGTTACTTTGCAGAAGAAGGGAAGAGGACTTATAACATTTATCTTTAGTTGCTATTTTTAGGTCCTACTCTACTGCTTTATGTATGATATCTAATTTAAATTCCCATACCATGATTATGAGATGGATACTAGTAATATCAGCATTATTACCCATTAGGAAACAAAGACTCTGAGACTATAAGTAACCTAGCCAAAGTCACACAGCTAGTAAATGCACAGCTTGGATTTAAACCCAGTCTCTCTTCTATCAAAAGCCAACGAGAGTAGATGGTTTCTCTAATGCCTTCCTTCTATTTCTTATAGAGATTTTACTACTACTGTTCTTTATTTTTATTTTCTCTTTGCTATGGCCAGAGCTCAACCCCAGAACCCAGATATGAAGGTGAAACCAAAGGATGGGTGTTGAGCTGAAGGCTGAGCTGTATAATAGATATCAAGCAGTCCATGAAATCAACCATTTCCTCTCATGATGAAGGACTAAGCCCTTCCCACTTCAACTCTCTTTTCCAACAGAGTACATTCTTTTCCATGATGCTCCCAGGATTTTCATGTAAGTAGGTCCATCCAAATGGCCTTCCAGATGGGCCCAGCTGATTCTGTATTTATAGCAATTACCCACCACCCTGTACTCAGTGATCTTTTCTGCCACATGACTTTAAATAAGTCTATTCCAAAGATACAGACTTGGTGAAAAGAAGGGGTACATGCATCCCCATGTTCATAGCAACAATGTCTACAACAGCCAAACTGTGGAAGGAGCCAAGATGTCCTTCAACAGATGACTGGATAAAGTAGATGTGGTTCATACATACAATGGAATATTACTCAGCCATCAGAAAGGATGAATACTACCATTTGCATCGACATGGATGGAACTGGAGGGGATTATGCTAAATGAAATAAGTCAAGCAGAGAAAGACAATTATCATATGGTTTCACTCATATGTGGAACATAAGGAATAGTGTGGAGGACCACAGGAGAAGGGAAGGAAAACTGAATAGGAAGAAATCAGAGTGGGATAAATCATGAGAGACTCTGGACTCCAGGAAACAAATGGAGGATTAAGGAAAGGAGGGGGTGAGGGGATGGGGTAACTGGGTGATGGGTATTAAGGAGGGCACATGTTGTGATGAGCACTGGGTGTTATATGCAACTAATGAATCATTGAACACATCAAAAACTAATGATGTACTATATGTTGGCTAACTGAACTAACTAACTAACCAGCTAACTAACTAACTAAATAAAGCTATTCCTTTCCATGTCTTCATCAAATGGCACTAGAAAGCAACTTGATATGGAGCTGATATAGTCTGAGTTCATCAACTTTAGCAATGTGCCTTAACACAGGATTTAAAATGGACTGTCTGGAGAAGGAACAACATAGCATGAACCTTGCACTGGGTTTCCTACTGGCACGATTACTCTCCCTTCCTTTAGCTCGGATAAATGAGAAGACTCCAATAGCTCAGAGTCCGAGAGTGTGAATTTCAGCCTACCACCTAGAATGCTAATAATCTATTTTGCTAATTGAAGAAGAATACTGATGCTCTGAAAATCAGCAGTGGCTGGAAAGTCTTTTATTTTCTTCCCATGTAATATTCTAGTATTTGTTATTAAATATAGGGGGTGTAAGTGGTGCCTGAATGGCTCAGTTGGTTAAGCATCTGACTCTTGATTTTGGCTCAGGTCATGATCTCAGGGTTGTAAGATTGAGCCCCGTATTACGGGGCTCTGTGCTGGGCATGGAGCCTGCTTGAAATTCTCTCTTTCCTTCTCCTTCTGCCCCTCCCCCTCCTCAAATAAATACATAAATAAATAAAGGTGGCACAGATTTAAAAAAATCCTATGTGGACTTATTTATGGAGCTGCTAGTCCAGCAGATGTGTATGATGGATTTGGGTTTGGATCCTGGTTCTGCCATACCCTCACAATATAATTTTGAACAAGTTTCTTAGGCTAATTCTAGTTTTTCTTGAGTAGCAAGGGTAGGTCTCTCCTACGCTACAGGGCTACTATGAAAGTACAATAGAGAATGAAAGGGAGACACAACACACCTCTAAATTTATCTGCTTGAAGGGTCTACCTTAACAACAGGAAATGTCCCAAGATTGATATGAAGTTGATATAGAAACCTGGAATTCTGAAGGTCTCTAAGGCAGGAGGTCTTAGAGTAAAACTCAAGCATTTGACTCTTGGGGAGGGAGAATGGAAAGAGGAGGCAGAGGCCCAGCTCTGGAGGCAGAGGCCCAGCTCTGAAACACACCAGATTACCAGACACTGCTGCTAGAATTTACAAAGGGGCAAAAGCCATAGTCTGTTGTTGTTGTTTTCTTTTCTTTCCTTTTCTTTCTTTCCTTTCTTTCCCTTCCTTCCTTCCTTCCTTCTTCCTTCCTTCCTTCCTTCCTTCCTTCCTTCCTTCCTTCCTTCTTTCTTTCCTTTCCTTTCCTTTCCTTTCCTTTCTTTCCTTCCTTCCTTCCTTCCTTCCTTCCTTCCTTCCTTCCTTCCTTCCTTCCTTCCTTCCTTCCTTCCTTTTTTCTTTCTTTTTTTAGAGAGAGAGAGGGAGGGCGGGGGAGGGCTACAGAGGGAGAGGGAGACAGAGACCCTCAAATAGGCTCCACGCCCGCCCACTGTGTAACCTCATGCAGGGCTCTGTCTCACAACCCTGAGATCTTGATCAAGAGTCAAAATCAAGAGTCAGAAGCTTAAACCGACTGAGCCATCCAGGCGCCCGCATACTCTGTTTATTTTTAATGGAGCAGAATTCTGGTGCAGTGGACAATGAATTGCCTTGCCTGGGAGGGTGGAAAGTGAGATCTGGTCTGGCTCTCCGTTTACTTGTTGTATAATTGTGGGAAAGTCATTCAAGACCCTTGAGGCTCAGATTTCAATACATAAAATAGGGGTAACATTACCTTCTTGGCAGACCTCACTTGGCTATAATAATAATGCTGACAATAATAACAACCACTGTCTTTAACTGACCAATCATTTTGTGCAAAGGCTTTGTATGTACTAACTCATTTGCCATATCACATGAATGAATTAGGATGATACTAATTATTTCCAATTTATAGATGAGGAGATGGACACTTGGAGACATTCTACAATGTGACCAGTTTCACCTGCTAACAAATGGGAGCTCTGAGGTTAGGATTTAAGACCACTTTCACTTCAAAGGAAGGACTATTTAACACTCTTCTTTAACCAGAGCACCATTCTCTCAAAAAAAAAATGCATAAAATCTCTTATCTCACCATTATACTTTTGACTGATAGTTACTAAATGGAATTATTACTGTTGTTACTTATTCATATTAATATCATAGTCATATGATGCTGGGAAAAAGTTAATCAAAGATACACATGATTAAAGATTTTTAACAATGGACAATTCAGGACCACTAAGATGATGGTCTTCCCGTAAACAGCATGCTTAAGTAGCTATATCATTTTTCAGTCAGTCTGACTTCCTGATGGGAATCACTGGTGATTTAACAGAGGTTATGTGGGGAGTTCCAAAAGCTAAGGACTTTCCAGATGGTTGGAATAAGATCACACACTCTGGGTTCTGTTATGGAGATCACCAAGCTTTTCAACTCAAAGTGAAACCTGTGGAAGAAGTAGTTGATCAAAAGGAACTAAATAGAGTCCATCGTCTCTCATGGTTCGTCTACCCCTCCGATTTCCCCCGCTTCATTCTTCCCCTCCCGCTACCTTCTTCTTCTTCTTTTTTTTTTTTCTTAACATATATTGCATTATTTGTTTCAGAGGTACAGATCTGAGATTCAACAGTCTTGCACAATTCACAGCTCTTACCAGAAAAACAAACAGGGTTCTAGAGGGGAGGGGGTGGGAGGATGGGTTAGCCTGGTGGTGGGTATTGAGGAGGGCACATTCTTCATGGAGCACTGGGTGTTATGCACAAACAATGAATCATGGAACACTTCATCTAAAACTAATGATGTAATGTATGGGGATTAACATAAGAATAAAAAAAAAAGAAAACAAACTGAGGGTTGCTGGAGTGGGGGTTGGGGTGGGAGGGCTGGGGTGGCTGGGTGATAGACACTGGGGAGCGTATGTGCTATGGTGAGCGCTGTGAATTGTGCAAGACTGTTGAATCTCAGATCTGTACCTCTGAAACAAATAATGCAATATGTGTTAAGAAAAAAAAAGAAGAAGAAGAAGGTAGCGGGAGGGGAAGAATGAAGCGGGGGAAATCAGAGGGGTAGATGAACCATGAAAGACGATGGACTCTGAGAAACAAACTGAGGGTTCTAGAGGGGAGGGGGGGTGGGAGGATGGGTTGGCCTGGTGATGGGTATTAAGGAGGGCATGTTCTGCATGGAGCACTGGGTGTTATGCACAAACAGTGAATCAGGGAACACCTCATCTAAAACTAATGATGTAATGTATGGGGATTAACATAAGAATAAAAAAAAAAGATTGATTAAAAAAAAAAAAAAAAAAAAGGAACTAAATACACTGAGCACCATGTGTGCTCATCCTATTGCTGCTATTCCTGTGAGTAAGGTACGACGTTCCTCAGTTTAGCAATGAGGAAATGGATGAGTCCCATGTCCAAGTTCATGCAGTTTATATATATTAACAATAACTAACATTGGCTTTTTTTTTTCTGCAGTACATGCCGGGGGCTGTTCTAATCTGTATATTAATTCATTTAATTGTTAAAATGATCCTATTGGGTAAGTACTTGGTGCTGAAGCTACCAAGCTTTGCCATTTCTCAGATAAAGAAACCGAGGGGCAAATGTGAATTGCCCAGTTGGAGGAGGAAGGAACAGGGTGTGAACCCAAGTTGGCCTGATTTTCCAGGGTTATATTCCTCCCACCATGTAGCAACTGCCATGGCGTCCTGGCTACTCTACCAGGGGTAGTCAGAGGAGTGACTGGAGGATAATGTAGACAAGGTCAGTAACTCCCATGCCATCTAGAAATTGAAAGTTTAAAAGGCAGTGTCTGCGAGTCGCCTTAATCTCTACAGAAATAGAGATGATACCTCTCTGTGACAGTGCTAAGTGACAATTCTGAGTGTAAATGTGCTTTTTGGCACAAGCTGTCCTGTCCTAATAGTCTTGATTATAATTGTAAAATAATGGGTTTCTGAAAGGCTGCAAGCAGTTCTGGGAATGGCAATAAGGGTTTAGAAACAACATGTTGTTTATGCGAGAAGCGTTCTCTTGAAAATTAAACCCACGTTTAGGAGAAAGGATTGTGTTGTACGCTCTTAAGAAACTATCTTGCTATGTAATTAAATCAAAACCAGTCAGTTGCCAATTTGAGCTCTTGTCTCACACTAACGACATCCCATTTCCCGTGAGCCAAGTGACAGGACTGACCTAAAATGACCCAGCCTGGTCATGCCCCACCCCCCGCACCCACCCCGAACCTTGGCCTTCCAACTTCCCACGACTGAGCTGTGAAGTGTTGTTGCCAGGTCCATCTTCCTTCTGGGGACGCTGTCTTATCTTTCCCTTAAGATTCTTGGAGGTCTTTCCACCTCCACAATAAAGAATGAACACTTATTGTTGAAGGGATTTTCTAGGAGGCCCTATATGGAAATAAGTTTAAAAAAAAATGTGAAAAAGTTTTAGAGGCTCTGAACTTCTCACAAAATCCCCAAGAAGCTGTCTCTGACTTCATTTCTTAGAAGGATAACAGAAGTCTCTCTCTGAAGGTTAGAAAGTCTTCTCTGTTTCAGGATCCGGAAGTTAGATTAAGCTAGTTAATCTACCATGTTTTCTTGTGTCTCTAGGTCACTCTCTCTCTCATTTGTTCTATGTCCTTCTAGCATCTTCTCTCACCCTTTATTTGTATTAAGGACTTTAGGCAGCTTACAATGGAGACAGTTTTAATAGAACTATTAAAAATGGAAACAGTGTATCAAGATGATGAATTTTACCACCTCTGGCTTTTTAAAAAGTGTTTGGCTTAAGAATCACTGACGACTTTAATTATCTATTTCCATCCATTTTTCTAGATATGTTTATGATCCTTATCGCTAGAAATTCTGATTTAGTATCAGAGATTGGGCCTAAGGAATCCGTATTTTGAAATGTTGCCCAAGTGATTTTAATGCACAGACAGATCTGAGAATCACAGTTATAATAGAAAATGGAGGACAATACAACACATTTAATATGGTTACTGGTTTTGTTCTTGAGAGTTATTGCTATGATTCAATAACAGCCAAGGCAAAGTCAACAGGATGGAATATGTGATCCTTCTTACAAAGGGAAATAAGGCACCCCCTATTGGTCAGATCATTTCTCTCTTTCACACTGTACGGTTATTCCCCCTTTATCCTCCCAGGTCAGACCCACTGTGATGTTAGTGCTGGCCTCTTTGATTCTGAGCTTACAATATCCATTTAGACATTTTGACCTAGGCTCTTATTTGCTTCTCTTAGTGTGGTGCCAATTTCCCCTCTTCATCTCACATAAACTTATACCAGAAAAATGTCATGGTCTGCTCTGAACTCTCTGAGGCATCTGCTGCCAATTTTAGTTTTCTGATTTTTCATTCCAAAATAAATAAAAATAAAACCTGTCAGCTCTACTTTTGCAAACTGACTACTCAGCTTGCCACTGACTATCCAGATTCCAAAAATGGTTTTCTCTGGGGAATGCCAGGATCTCCTGAGCAAAGACTTGCTGAGCCATTGTCGGTCTTCCCAGGAACCTCTTTTTTAATATTGTTGGGGGGCAGGTGAATATGATAGTCAGTAGCTTTAGCCTCAAGTTTGAGATCCTGAATCCTCGGAGGAGTGTACTGTAGAACACTCGGTGGGGAAACAGCTACTGTAGAAACTTTCTACATGCA